ATGATGCACAAAAACGTACAACAAACACGAAGAACAATCGGGCATCCTCCCCGAAACGACCTCGATGTTATACATCGGTCCAGCTGTACTGCAACAACTGCTGCTGTTAGGATGGGCGGGGAGGGATCGATCCTTCGGCAGCTCGACCACCTCGCCCTTGGCGGGCTCCTCGACCTCCCCGTCCTCGCCGCCTGACTCGTCGTCGGCGGCGTTGCGCACGACCTCCGAGCCAACCTCCGCGGGCACGGGGGATTTGGGCGCCCGAAAAGGGTACGAAAAAATATGTACACTGCCCAAAAATACATGCTGTCCCAAGCCAGCAGCGGCCGCTGTTGGGCAGGCGGCCGTCTGTCTCAAACAGACAAAGGCCGCGGCGGCGTGGACCGCGAGTCCTGTTCAACATGCACAGGAACTGCTGTTGGATATCGTACTCATTCTTTCCGTGCTCACGTCGGTCGTCCCGAGGGGGGGGGGAGGTGGTCCAGCGACGTCGCCATCGCCCGCCTCATCATCTAGCACCCCGCCCTCATTCTCCTCCTCCTCCTCATCCTCATCCGCCTTCCCTGCGCCCCATCGTCAGACCCCCCGTTTGTTATTCCGTATCCACCGCAGCATCATCGCCCCCCCTCAGATCAGATGCCTCCTCCGCAGCTCCTCCTCGTCCTCCTCCTCCGCATCTTCCCCTCTCGCCCTCGTCTCCACCCCGATCGCCCCCCCCCCCTCTCCTCATTTCCCCTCTCTCCCGACTCCCGTCTCACACCTTCCCATCATCTTCTTACTCACCATCTCCCATTCGGGCCCTCCTCGCCATCCTCGCTTCCCTCATCCCCCGCGCGCGCCTCGATGCGATCGCTCGACCCCATGAGGTGGAGGTAGTAGTTGATGCTGTCGATCTCGGCGTCGCTGCAGTCGGCCGTCGCCTGGCGAGTGTCGCCGTCATCGGAATCGTTATCGTCGTTGTGCTCATCATCCTCGACATCCCCCAGCTTCCTCCTCCTCCCCCTCATCCTCCTCTTACTCCTCCTCCTCCTCCTCCTCCTCCTCTTACTCCTCCTCCTCCTCCTCCTCCTCCTCCTCCTCCTCATCCTCCTGATCCTCGACGCCGCCATCGTCGCCATCGTCGCCGCCGCCGCCGTCGTCGCCGCGGTCGTCGCCACCCCCTCCGCATCATCATCCGAATCCGACTCACGCGCCATCCTCATCCTCATCCTCCTCATCCTCACCCTCACTCTCATCCTCATCATCCTTCTCACCATCCTTCTCATCATCGTCATCATCATCCTCATCAGCCTCCTCATCATCAGCAGAATCCTCAGTCCTGCTCCTCATCCTCCTCATCATCAGAATCATCGCCCTGTTCATCCACCACCCGCACCCCGACCTCCCGCGACCCACCTCTTGCCCCCCACCTCATCGCCATCACTCCCCCCATCCCCCCCTCCCCCCCCCCTCGCCACCCCAAGCCTCCTTCCCCACCATCCATCCTCCACAAATCCTACCGCCACCGCCGCCCCCCTCCTTCCAATATCCGAGCGTGGCCTGCCGCAACTTGATCGATGAATCGCGAAGCCTGCGGAGGTGCTTCAGCACAACGCACAGCTTCTCCGCGAGGCTGCCCGCCCTCTGCAGTGAGGGCATTGTCTCTGGCTCCCTGCAGCATCGAGGGAACCTGGGCGCGGGTGGGGGGGCTGTTGTTTGACACGTGCCAGGCCGACGCCAGCCTGACGTCTGAAAAAGGCCAGGCTGACGCATGCCTGACGTTTGAAAAACGCCAGGCAAACGTCAGCCTGAAGTTTTTGATACACCAGACCGACGCCAGCCTGACGTTTTACAAACGTCAGACAAACGTCAGCCTGATGTTGTGTTCAGACGTCAGGCCGACGTCAGCCTGGCGGTTTTCAGACATCAGACCGACGTCAGCCTGACGTTTTACAAACGTCAGACAAACGTCAGCCTGATATGGCGTTCAGACGTCAGGCCAACGTCAGCCTGACGTTTTACAAACGTCAGACAAACGTCAGCCTGATATGGCGTTCAGACGTCAGGCCGACGCCAGCCTGACGTTTTTCAGACATCAGACCGACGTCAGCCTGACGTTTTACAAACGTCAGACAAACGTCAGCCTGATGCGGCGTTCAGACGTCCATATTGTGGTGTTGGGTCCTCGCTTTGAAGAGACAGCGCCCATCGTCTCTTCCTCTCATCTCCTCATTCCTCCTTCTTACTCCTCCTTCTTCTTACTCCTCCTCCTGCTCCTCCTCCTCCTCTTCCTTTCTCCTCCCTCCTCATCCCCTCCTCCTCCCCCTCCTCCTCCTCCTCCTCCTCCCCCTCCTCCTCCCCCTCCTCCTCCAATCTCTGCCTCTGCCACCCGCGCGCCCACCAATTCAGCGCACCCAGCACAGCGCTTCGTGGCCCCATCGGAAGCTCCACCGAGGGCCCCAGGGGCTGCGCCCCCACGGCACCACCGCGCCCATTTCGGCACACCCCTCACACGTTTCGTGGCCCCATCGGCAGCTCCAGCGAAGGCACAAATGGCTGCGCTCACATGGCGCCACCGCGCCCATTTTGGCACACCCCTCACACGTCAGCCTGCGTGTGTTTGTTGCCCCTAAACATCAGACCGACATCTCCCGTCTCTTCCGTCTCTCCCGATATAGAAATGCAAACCTGCCATTCCTCCTCCCCCATCCTCCCCCTCCACCCTGGCTTAGCTGCCGCGGGCGCCTGTCGATCACATACAAACACGCTGCGCGCAGCTGGGACCACTTGATCTCAGCCGAGGGGATATTCTTCAGCAGCACCTCGACCAGGGGCATCATGAGGTGCAACGAGCGGGCATGCACAGCCCTGCCCCTGGTCAGGTACTGGTATGAGTGCAGAGCAAAGCTAGTGCGCGTGCCAGCACTGACGACGTAACGCTTGAGCTCCTGGCCGAGACACGTGGCGTCCACATCAGCGACTGCGTGCCGTGTGGGCACCGCTGCGGGGGCGACACTGCCAGCTGACATCTGCACGAACTAAAAGAGGTGCACAGGATGAGGCCACAATACAAAACAAAAAGAAAAAAGGAGTTCGAACAATAATGACCGTGGGGATCACGAGCACGCACGCGCACACAAGCACACACACATACACACACGCGCTGACCTAACACAAAGTGAACACACCACACCATCTGAATACACTGTAACATTAGCTACCGTGTGTGTATTGCAAATGGCGTGCGAGTTGTGTGTGTGTTGTTGTTTCTTTTCGCGTTTTACACTGTTTGGGGTCCACGCGCGTACACTATTTGGGGTCCACGCGCGCACACTGTTTGGGGTCCACGCGCGCACACTGTTTGGGGTCCACGCGCGTACACTGTCTCGGGGTCCACGCGCGTCGGGACAGCAAGATGTGGCGCGAGGAGCATAATACTCACGATCTGCACCGTGGTACGTGGTTTGAGCAGTGGCGCCCATGTCCACTGGCCGTAACCTCACTCGCCACCTGTTTGGGGTCCACTGGCCGTCCACTGTTCGGGGTCCACACGCCTGTTTGGGGTCCACTGGCCGTCAACTGTTTGGGGTCCACTGGCCGTAAACTGTTTGGGGTCCATTGGCCCAATAACTACGCTACAGCATGATAGCCAAAAGGCCCAGACAGGGGGGGCGCAGGTCGGGATGACGCCCAGAACCCTGCAAATGGTATGGGGGCGCAGGTCGGGATAACACCCAGAACCTTGCAAAGGGGGCTTTAGGGACGCAGGTCGGGATAACGCCCAAAACCCTGCGAATGATTGGGGGCGCAGGCCTGGAAACACCCAGAACTCTTGCGAGTTAAAACACAACAGCAAGGACCATCATCAACATTGTTGCCCTCCCCCTTTTCGTTTCATGCCTATTACCGTCCTCCTCATCATTCCCCTCACCCTCCCCTTCTCGCTATACTCTGCCCTCCCCCTCCGCGCCTCCCCGCTCGCAGTGCCACGATGCTGCCCCAGTGCAGCAGACAGGTTTACTATCTATCTCACTACCTTGCTACCTCGCTATGTCTCTCACCGTCTCACTGTCTGCGACGTTGATTGTATAGATATTGCTGTCTCGGAATTGATATCACTATATATATATATATATCACTATCGATCTATACCACTATCTATATCACTATATTACTATCTAGCTCTGTTGATTATGATGATGCTGACAAGTATGATGAATATGTTGACCACCATGGCGGTGCTGCTGATGATGAAGGAGATGATACTACCCATGACGATGACGGCGATGATGATCACGATGGTGGTGATGATGGCGATCACGGTGAAACCGCCAGGCAAACGTCAGGCAAACGTCAGGCTGACGTTTGCCTGACGTTTGGCAAACGTCAGGCAGCCAGTTTGGCAAAATTGGGGAGCGACCGTAACAAAAATGGGGAGCGACGCGGCTCCGAAAATGGGGAGCGACCACCATCAATATCGGTCGCCGTCGATGCCCTGAATGGGGCACACTTTCATCTGACGTCAGGCAAACGCGCCCCATTTTGGACTGACGAATCCAAAAATGGAGCGCGCCCGGTTTTCATCATCCGCGCCCATTTTTGTGGAGCGCGGGGTCTCTGGGTAGGCAGCAAATTTCGTACCCCCCCCGTTCCCAATCCCCCCCTTTCGTCCGGCCCGACTCTCTGCCGACCGCTGTCTGGCGGTCGCGGGGGGCCCCTGGCGAGGGCCCACGGAGGCCACAGGCGGCGCGAGGGAGAGCTCGGGAGCCGTCGCCCCCTGCGGACTCCCGCCCCCTGCGTGGCGACCTCCGGCCTCCTGCTGGGAGGGGGGAGGATATGCAGGGGCCCCGGGCCCCAGGACACACACATAAATACACACAAGTAGCAGGATTCCCCATATTTTCCTATGTTTTTTTCTGGGTTTCTGTCTTCCCCCCCACGGCCCATATTTTCCCACATTTTCCTGGGAATGGGCGATTACTTGTGTCTGTGTGTTCTTTCTCCTCCTGAGAGGGGCCGGCCTCGTCCGAGAAGTGCACCATCCGGTCCTTAAGGGGCGGCGAAATCTATACATATCCAGCCTCGAACGTATCCCTATCCTTAAGATTGACACGCCAAAAAGCGATGACAATCTTGGGGATTCGCCCTCAAAAAAGAAGGGGATCCCTAAGATTGGCATCTTGATGAGGAGATACATATCCACGGCTCCCTGGCCAGGCCCATCCTGATCCCTCCCAGCAGCGGTGTACACGCCGGGCCCTCCCGGCTTGGCCAGGAGGGCGTACACACGGCTCCTGGGTTCAGGATGGGCCTGGCCGGGGAGCGGTGGATACGTATAGATTTCTTCGCTCGAGTCCTGGTCCGCGGAGAGGACCAGGTGCTTGCACCTTGGCGAGAGCGGCACCCCCGCGAGCGCCGCCTTCTTCTAAGCGAGCGCGAGGGGGAGAGAGGGAAGGGAGGAGGGAACTCCTGCTCCTCGTCCTGCTCCTCCCCCTCCTCGGCCTGCTCCTCCTCCTCCTCCTCCTCCTCCTCCTCCTCCTCCTCCTCCTCCCTTTCTCCCTCACTCCCTCCCTCCCTTCTCCCTCCGCCCATCTTTGCGTACTCCCTCCCGGCTTCGCCCCTCGTCTCCTCCCTCTCTCCCTCCCTCCCTCCCTCCCTCCCTCCCTCCTTCATCCCTCCCCCTGGAAGCTGGGACAGACTTAGACTGTCGCCGAGGGGATTTCAGCGCGCACAGCCACCAGTCGGATACTCTCCCTGTAAAGGGACAGGCCCGACTTGACTCTGGGAGCACGAGCAGCCAGGCAGCGGGGGAGGAGGTGCGGCCTCACCGCCGCTGACCTCTTAGAGCACCAAGTTGTCCTCCCCCCCGCCCCTCCCTTAGTAGTCCGCCCTGGGGGGTCACCGCGACGGCCCGCGGCCGCCACCTGCGCGTCCCCCTTCCGCTCCTCACTCGTTCGGTCCCTCGCTTTGCCCTCTCATCGCGGTCCCCTTCGTGTCGTCCTTCCTTTTCCTTCCGTAGTCCTGTTCGCCGACGCGGCCATTCTTCCACAACGTCCCCCTCCTCATACCAGACGGGACTGGGGGGGGGCGACGGCAGCACCTGACCTCAGGACAAAAGCCGCCAGCTTCGAGCTTCGAGGATGAGCCTGGCAACGGCGTCGATGGTTGACTTCGGAGCCTGCTGCCCTTCGCGCGAGCATCCTGAGGCCCGCGCATCACCACGGCTTCGCCGGTGTAGGTGCTGAGGGCCGGCGTTGATCGAAGCTGAGCGCAAGTTGAAAGCGGCCAGGGGTGCTGCGCTGGATTGAACGCCTGCTAGATGGGGTCCGAGCGTAATTATGGGGTCGGAGGATTGCGCCGCATCGCCAATGCATCGCCGATGCGCATCGGCGACGCCAGCGCGGAGAACATCGGGATCCACATCGAGCCGCATCGCCGACGCATCGGCGACGCGAGGCGATCCTCCCACCCCATCTTCTCCGTCCCCATCTGAGAGGCTTAGATGGATGGATCCCGGAAAAACGGTTGAGAGGGCGGAGTCCTCCTTCCGTTGGCTTCCTCTGCGCCCGCTTTCCGTCCGTCGGCCGTCCGCCGAGGAGGAGATGTCATAATCTCGATGCGGCGCCCTTCGGTAAGGCTTCGGGCTGCGCACAGACAAAGCCACATCCGCTCAACATCGGTCCTGGACCCCTCCCAAGGTCGAACCTGGCCAGTTGTTAGAGCCGCGCCCAGCCGCGGCACAAGGGGGCCTCTTTCTCCACTCATTCTGCTGGCCAGAACACGTGCTGGACCCCCCACCCAGCTCCAAAGCGAAAGAACCGAGGCATGTACTGACTGTATGCCCAGACCCTCGAGGGGCGAGACTGAAATGTCGATGGTTGGGGTGCGTTCCCGGGGCGTCTCTGGGCCTCCTCTTCGCCACGGCCAGACCTGCCTGGAGAGTCTGGCCCGAAAGCGCACTTGGACTGGTCCGGGGGACACTTGTTGTGAGAGTTTGGGGCAGGATCCAACCTCCAGACTTGAGGGGTCGACTTCCAACCACCACTACCACAGGTAGGGGAGGAAGGAGGATTAGGAGGAGGACGAGGAGGAGGAGGAGGAGGAGGAGGAGGAGGAGGAGGAGGAGGAGGAGGGAGAGGAGGAGGGAGAGGAGGAGACGGGGAGAGGAGGAGCACGAGGGAGAGGCGGAGGAGGAGGAGGAGGAGGAGGCGGAGGAGGAGCGGAGCGGAGGCGGAGGAGGAGGAGGAGGAGGAGGAGCGAGGAGGAGGAGGAGGAGGAGGAGGGGAGGCGGAGGCGGAGGCGGAGGAGGAGGAGGAGGGAGAGGAGGAGGAGGGAGGAGGAGGAGGTAGGAGGAGGAGGAGGAGGAGGAGGAGAGGAGGAGGAGGCGGAGAGGAGGGAAGGAGGAGGAGGGAGGAGGGGGAGGAGGAGGAGGAGGAGAGGAGGAGGAGGGAGGAGGAGGAGGAGGAGGAGGAGGAGGAGGAGGAGGAGGAGAAGGAGCGAGGAGTAGGAGGGAGGACGGAGGAGGAGGAGGAGGAGGAGAGAAGGAGGAGGAGGAGGAGGAGGAGGAGGAGGGCGGAGGAGAGGGCGGAGGAGGAGGGAGAGGAGGAGGAGGAGGAGGAGGAGGAGGAGAGGGGAGGAGGAGGAGGAGGAGGAGGAGGAGGAGGAGGAGGAGGAGGAGGAGGAGGAGGAGGAGGACATCCCTCCTCCCGGGAGGGGTGGCGTGGGGTGGCGGCGGGGAGGCCGCCACCGGCCCCCCTGCCGCCGGCCCAGGCCGCTGGCCATACGCTGACCCCCCCTCGGCGACAGTCTACGTCTGTGCCGGCTTCCAGGGGGAGGGGGAGGGATCAGGGAGGGAGAGAGGGGAGCCCACGGAAGTGGCGGCACTTGGCAGGAGGTGGCGGGCGACGAGGGGAATGAGGAGGGGGGGAGAAGGATGAAGACCACAGTGCTGTATGCAAAACGAGATCCCGACACAGGAGGGTTGGGATATTACCCGAGACTTATCCGGCCCATTCCCCGCGCGGGGCGAATGCTTGTATGAACGCCCTCTGCAAATAATACATCGCCAGATATGCACGACCTGCGCTGCCCTCATCTCCACCGTGCCACCGAGGAGCCTGCGAAAAAGGCGACGGTTGCGCACTTCGCAAATCCCAACCCGCGCAGGTGGCGACGGCTGTGCACTCTGCAGCCCCGCGGGGGCCAGCGAGGTCTCAAGTGGATCTGCGCTGCCCTCACCTCTGCCGTGGCTCCCAGGAGCCCACGCAGGTGGCGACGGTTGCGCACTCTGCAGCCCCGCAGGGGCCAGCGAGGTCTCAAATAGATCTGCGCTGCCCTCACCGCTGCCGTGCCTCCCAGGAGCCCACGAACGTGGCGAACGCTGAGCGCCTCGCGGGCCCCCGACGGAGCCGCGAGGTTCCATCTGGATCAGCGCGGCCCTGGCCTCCGCCGTGCCTCTCCAGGGGCCCACGAGCGCGGCGACAGTTTTACGAAGCTCGCAGCCCCCGAGGGAGCCTGACACTGAGGTGAACTGCCCTCGCATCCGCCGCGCCTCCCAGGAGCCAGCGACAGTGGCGACAGAGGTCCACTTCGCAGCCCCCAGGGAGCCGCGAAGCGTCGGCTGGGTCTGCGTGGACCTCCGCTCCGCTGGGCCTCCCAGGACCAACGACAGTGGCGACAGTTGCGCAGCTCGCAGCCAAAGGAGCAACGAGGTCTCAAGAGGATCCGCGTGGCACGCGACTCCACTAGACCTCCCAGGAGCCCACGAAAGTGGCGACAGGTGCGCAGTTCGCAGCCACCTAGCAGAAAAGGCACGAGCAAGGGAGGCAATGAGGCAGGAAGACCACAATACTCTATTCACAACGAGAACTCAAAATGCACAGGATCGTTGGGACAAACATAGCGGACGTCTTCTGCCATCTTCGCCTTATGGGGGCCGCTTCTAGGACCCCCAGCGCCTTAAATCACCGTGCAGGACGAACCAAACCGCCCCGGTGAATGGTTTGACCGGCCCAGGCGCCACGCGCACCAGACCATTCGCGACGCCAGAGGTCTCGGGGCGTGCTCTGCGGGCGTGCGCTGATTGCTGTCAGAGGCTGCCGTCCCCAGGCCGCCGGAGCCCGTTCTGATTCTGCCCCGCGAGAAACCGAATCATCTGGTGGGGGGGAAGGTGCCGGAAGATGCCCAAGCCTTTTCGCTCTGGGCAGCGCAACGTGTGTCCGCGCGCACCCATACTGCGCACCTCCTTGGCCCAAGCACATGCGCAAGCGACGAAAAACAAGAGTATCCACAACAGGGGGCAGGGCGGGGGGCCCGATCAAATCCGGTCCACCGCCCGAGCTTGCAAAAAACAAGCCTCGAGACGAGCGTGATCCTTTCGCCACGCGGCCCCTTTCAAGGTCTCGACCCATTCCCTCTACTCCCTCCCCCTCCTCCTCCTCCCCTCCTCCTCCACTCTAATCCTCCCTTCTCCTCTTCCTCCGCCTCCTCCTCTCTCCTCCTCCCTCCTCCTCCCTCCTCCTCTCCCTCCTCCTCCTCTCCCCTTCAATCCTCCTCTCCTCCTCCTCATCCTTCCTCCTCTCCTCCTCCTCCCCTCATCCTCAAGACCCTCCTCCCTTCCTCCTCCTCCTTCTCTCCTCCTACTCCTCCTCATCCTCTCCTCCTCCTTCTCCTCCTCTCTCCTCTCCTCCTCCTCCCCTCCTCCCCTCCTCCCCTCCTCTCCTCCTCTCATCCTCCCCTCTCATCCTCTCCCTCCCTCCTCCTCTCTCCTTCTCCTCTCCCTCCTCCTCCTCCTGCTCCTGCTCTCCTGCTCCTCCTGCTCCTCCTCCCTCCTCCCTCCTCCTCTCCTCCTCCTTCCGCCTCCTCCTCCTCCTCCTCCTCCTCCTCCTCCTTCAGGTACTGTGTCTCATCCTGGTTGTTTTTGGACGGCCCTGGGGCCAAGCAAAAGCCCCCCAAAGGCCGACAAAACTGCAAAAACTCCTGCATGGCGGAGGACCCAACCATCTGCAGTTGTGGTTCCCGCGCTGTGGGCGCCGTGGCTGGCGGAGCCCCGCGCGGGGCCACGAAGCGCGCGAGGGGCGCGTCGCAGCGGGCTCGAAAGCCGCCTGCGGCCGCGGCCCCGGGGGTCTCCAGTGGAGCCGCCCGTGGGGCCACCGAGCGCTGTGCTGGCTGGGCGGGAGGGCCGCCTGCGGCCGCGGCCACGGGGCCTTCCACAGAACCCCCTCTTATGAGGCCGCGAAGCGCTGGGAGGAGGAGGAGGAGGAGGAGGAGGAGGAGGAGAGGAGGGGGAGGAGGGGGAGGAGGGGGAGGAGGGGGAGGAGGGGAGGAGGGGGTGGAGGGGAGGAGGAGGAGGAGGAGGAGGAGGAGGGAGGAGGAGGAGGAGGAGGAGGAGGAGGAGGAGGAGGAGGAGGAGGAGGAGGAGGAGGAGAAGGGGTACTGGGTGGGGGGGGAACGCATGCGGCCGCGACCACTGGGGCCTTCGGCGGCGCTCCCTGTGCGGCCACGGAGCGCTATATGATGGGGGCAGCGTCGGCGCCCGAGGCCGCGGTCCGTGGAGCACGCGGTGGGGCCCCCTGATGGGCCAGGCAGCGCTGTACAGTCGAGGCGTTGACCTAAGGAACCCTAAATAAGGAACGAGGCCCCTATTTTCCATTCGTCGAACTTCGATTTCGTATCGAAAACCTAAACAAAAATCCAAGGCAAGCTGCGAAACAATTAAGGAGCACGGAGCCCCTCCCCAACGAAAAGGGTTCCTTCTTCAGGGCCCCGACTGTACTGGGTTTGGGCGACGCATGCGGCCGCGGTCACTGGGGCCTTCGGCGGAGCTCCGTATGGGGGGCCACGAAGTGCTGTGCTGGGTGGGGGGGGGGACGCATGCGGCCGCGGCCACTGTTGCCTTCGGTGGAGCTCTTCTCTATGAAACCACGACGCGGTGCACTGGGTGGGGGGAACGCATGCGGACTGCGGCCACTGGCGCTTTCAGTGGGGCTCCATATGCGGCCGCGACAAGCTGTACCTTCGGTGGGGCTCCCAATTGGGCCACGAACCGTGCGAAGGGTGTGCGGTAACGGATGGGGGAGGCGCGTGTGGATTGCGACTCGCGGCGCTTGCGCCGCTTCATCTCCTGCAGAGACGTGCCTGGCGAGAGCCGACGCCCTCCGCGCCGAGGGGCACGGCGACAGGCGTTGAATGCGCTTTGCGCTCGCGTCCCCCGCTTCTGGCCCAGAAGACGTGCCCAGAAGGTGGCCGTGCCCTCGCGGCCACGTTGGTTGCTCCTCCCGACCTGGAGATTAGTCCAGGCTGGCACTGGCCCACCTCCCCCGCGCCCCCCTGCTTGCTCCCGACAAAGAAAAACTGGGAGCAACAATGGCAGTTCTCTCTCTCGTTCTGTCTCGCGCGACGCGGGCAGCCCGACCCACTACGGCATGTCTCTCCAAGTCGCCATCAAGGTCGCCATCCACCACTGCTCCCCCCGCTTCCCTCCACACATCCCAGGGTGGCCGGTTGGGATTGTGGTGCTTTTACGCCGCCGGCGGGGCAGGGCGGCGAGACATTTCGCCATCGCTGCTCTCGACACATTGAACACGTCCAAGCATGTTGCTCACGAGGGGAGGCCAAAGTCTCTTTCTCCGGACCCCACATCCCAGGCAGCCCCCCCTGGAGATTCGGGGGGACGGCACGAGGGGGACGGGCTCCGGCAGGGGGGCGTCGCCCCGAAGTCTGCGAGGCATCGCCAGCAGATTGGAACATAGGCCCTCGACAACAAACCCGCACGCTCCCAGGCGGGGAAGGGGGGGGCCGAGGGGCCGACGTGCGATACATGGACGAGGAGGAGGAGGAGGAGGCGGAGGAGGAGGAGGAGGAGGAGGAGGAGGAGGAGGAGGAGGGAGGAGGAGGAGGAGGCGGGGAGGAGGAGGAGGAGGAGGAGGAGGAGGCGGAGGAGGCGGAGGAGGAGGAGGAGGAGGAGGAGGAGGCGGAGGAGGCGGAGGCTGGGCCGAGGGACGATGCCCCTTGGCCAGCACACCCCCCTGACATTGCCCCCCTGGCTCTCGGGTCACACCTCGGCTCCCCGGCGGCGCCGCGCAGGACTAGCTGGGCACCCCCAGCACGCTCGCGAGGCGCAGCCGCGGGAGGGCAGCCACCGAGCTGGGCAGCCGCGCGAGCGCCGGCGAGCAGGCCCAGAAACTTCGAGCCTCGAGGCTTCGTCGCCAGTGTGTCTGGCTATCGCCCGCCGAACGCTGCCCCCGTCGCTGCCCCCGTTGGAAGCGCGCGGTGCCCTCCTCCGCCCGGTGCTCGGCAGAACGAAGGACGTCAGCTTGCCCGTGTGCACGCCCACGCAGAGGGGAATGGGCGGCTGCTGCGCCTCCACGGGGAGCGGGGGGGGGGGGCACCCAGACCCCCTCGCGGCGCGGAAAAGATCACGACGAGAGTCTCTTGCTGTCTTCGGCCCCCGGGGGGCCCTCGCCGAACCCCGGGACCGTGTCAAGACCCAGGGAGTCCCCTGGGGACCCATGGGGCCGGCGGCGCTGTGGAGGAGCGGGACGTCGGAGGTCTGGGCATGCGGCGCGACCGCGGCGAGAGGCAAGAAGCGAGAGAGAGAGAGAGAGAGGGGGAGGGAGGGCTTGAGCAGCTGCCCGCAGCGCCCTGGGAAGGACGGGCTCTGGAAGCCCAGGCGGCCTGGCCCCCCGTCGTCCCCGACGGCCCACCGAACCGCCCTAACCGAACCCGAAGACTCGAAGTTCAAGCTGGGGGGGGGGACAGTCCTCCTCCTCCTCCTCCTCCTCCTCCTCCTCCCTCCTCCTTCTCTTCCTCCTCCTCCTCCTCTTCCTCTTCCTCCTCCTCCTCCTCCTCCTCCTCCTCCTCCTCTTCCCCCTCCTCCGTGGGGGGCTCGACAACAAGACACCCTCCACAAGAAACCCAACCCTGAGACCCCAGGGCGCCCGTTGATTTGCGGGTGTGGGAACGTCGTCACGCTGGCCACCGCCAGGCCATGGAAGCCCCAGAAACCCAGCGCACCACGGAGGCAAGCAGGGTGTCTCTTGGCATGGGGCCTCCACTGCACGGGCTCTCCACACGCGCTTGTCCTCGATGCTCCCCCCACCCCCCCCCTCATCACTGGGAGTGGAGGGCCAGTTGGGGCCTTCGGGTTGGGCTGGGGTGGCCTGGTGGTTGGCGACTCCCCTCCGCACCTCGCGCCCGCCCTCGGCGGGCGACCGCGGGCAGAGAGAGCGGCGGGGCAAACGCGGAGGCACGCTGCCTGGAGCGCCCCTGGGGCAGGACGGGCGCTCCCTCGGTGCCCCACGGCGGCCGGGCCCCGTCGGGCCCCTCGCGCCATCGTCGCGGGCGGATCGGACGACTGCCGCCGCAACACCGCGGGGCACCCTGGCCACGCAGTCGCCGCCGCCGCAAGCACTGCCCGTTCAGGGCTGGCGCCGCGCAGAGGAGGCGCCGAACGGCGACGCGCACGGTCGCGCGCGCCGAGGGCACTCTGGAGGTGCCTTCGGGGCGGCGCAGGGGCGACAAAAAGATGTTGGTGTTTGCGTGCCAGTGGATCTGTTTTTGCGGAGTTGGGCGCCCTGGCGCGGACGGCCGAGATCTGCTGGCCCCAAATCCGGCGTTTGCAGAACTGGGTTTAGTGGGACCTGGTTTAGTGATGTGCACTGGGGAACGACCCCCCCCGCCCCATTCCACTAACCGGAACTGCCGTCACCCGAAAGACACCAGCTACGGCAAACCTGGTTTTCTTGATTCCAGTCCATATATTGGGCTTCAAGGCCATATCGCTAACTGGCTCCCCTTAACCGGGGTCCTGGCTATACCCGACCAAAGGCGCGCGGGGAGACATCTCCGGCACTGATCCATCGACCTCGGCCCCTGCGTTGCCAGTCTGCCTCGGCCAGATGTCCTTTCCGCTGACAGCCCGGACCGACCCTGCCCGACAGAGGCTTTTTTTTTGGGGGGGGTGGGCCGTAACGGACAGACAAGGTCCTGAGGAGAACGGGTCCTGGACCACAGGGCCGTCCCAAGGACCAGCTTCTGTCACCCTGGACCGCTTCTCACGGTCCCGACGACTTGGGGAAGACCCCGGGGTGGTCGAAAAGGAATAAAAGCCTACAGACAAGCCTTTCCTCAAGATCTCGTTTTACATTCGGGGATGGACAGACCTCCCTTTAGTAGAACGTGGTTTAGTGAAAACGACCTCGGGCCCAAACCTGGCGGGCGCCAGCCTGGAAAACAACGGCCACGGCGCCCTCTCGAGAACCGAAAACGCACAATTCACGAATCGACGTGTCACTGTTGGGGGTTCTGTCCACCCCCAATACTCGGGTCGGGCGAAAGGGGGAGATAGCAAAGGGGGGGTTTGAGAATCAGCTCACGTAGCCGATTTTCCCGGCGCCTCCCGGCGCCGGAGGCGGCTATGTATCGAGGAATGGGCCCCTCCGTGAGGCCGAAATCAGCTGCATGCAGCAAATTTCGTACCCCCCCCTTTCCCAATCCCCCCCTTTCGCCCGGCCCGAGATACATGGCGATCGCTGCGAGGAATTATGCCCAGAAGAAGAAACAACGCCGCGGACGCAACACACGCCACGCTCCGCGCGCGGATGCTGCTGTGGACCTGCGCCGGGCCCCACGCCCCGGCGCGGCTATAGGCCAACGCCCGGGGGGCTTGGGGCGCCGATCCAACAAATCCGCTCGGAGCGCCAGAAGTGTCTGTTTATGGCGTGTTGTCTTCTTCGGCCTAAGAAGACATGTCCTCCTTCTTCTGAGCCCTCATCCCTTCTAAGGAGGCTTCGGATGTTCTCTTTTCTAAAGGAGGCTCCCGAGAGGACTCCTCAGTCCTTTTCCTTCTTTCTCCCTCACCTCCCCTTCCTCCTCCCCCACCGTGTTCCCCGAACGCTTTCCAAACCGATTCGGGGAACACATGGTCCGATAGCTTGGCAGGCCTCTGGCCACAACGTTCGGCCACATAGGCGATTCCGAAAAGGCAGGGGGCGGCGGAAATTCGCCGTCGGCGTCTTCGATAGCGCCAACGTTTCAATATGCGCTGATGATTCCTATCCGCCCTCGCATGCTGTTCCCGGATGCGCCAAGGCAGCGCCGAGACGCACCGACGCGACTCTGTTATATCCCATTCTGGTATTCTGGTATATCCCATTCTGGTAGACAGGGGCCAGAGGAGGCAGGCGGCAGGGGGCGAAGCTCTTACGGATCTCGTGGTGCATGCATTCGGTAGTCGATCCCCTATTCGAGATTCACTTCGCTACGGGTGACCTGCCCCGCCTGCACCGCCCAACCTGCCGGTGAGGTGGCCTGACGTCAGCGAAGCGCTCGCTCGGGAGAAGAGCGCGTGCCCACGGGAACCCGCTTTTCGGAAGCGGCCAAGGAGGGGGGTGTCCAAGAGGGGGGGGTGCAAATCGTGACCGGCGGCATGTGCGCGGCCCAGCGGGGGGGCCAGGGACGCAATGAAATGAGAAGGGGCGCCATGAAATACGGGAAATATCACGGCCCCCGCCACGATATCCACCCCCCCTAGTCGTCCCCCCCGGAGGAGGAGGAGGAGGAGGAGGAGGAGGAGGAGGAGGAGGAGGAGGAGGAGGAGGAGGAGGAGGAGGAGGAGGAGGAGGAGATGGTGGAGGAGGACGAGGAGGAGGACGAGGAGGAGGGAGAGGAGCAGGAGAGGAGGACGAGGAGGAGGAGGAGGAGGACGCCCTCTTTTCCGCCCCCGATGTTTGTGGACGGACACGGGGCACGGCGGAGTGCCCCCGGGAGGCCGCAGAGGGCCAAGAACCTCTCCCGTCGCGATCTCTGGACGACGCGAGCACGTCTGGGTAACTTCCCCTCCCCTCGCGCCGAGGTCGCCGGCGGGTCTGACGTGTCCCCCCCCTGCGCCGTCCATTCGTGCCACAGGCGCAGGGCCTGGCAGAGTGGCCTGGCGCTGGCGGCAAAGAAGAGCTCGGAGGCACGGCGCGTGCCCCCCGTCTTTCCTCCACACGCCCCTCCACGCGCCCCTCCTCGTGCTTCTTCATCCCTCCACCTCCTCCTCCTCCTCCTCCTCCTCCTCCTCCTCCTCCTCTTCCTCATGCCCCTCCTCCTCATGCCCCTCCTCCTGATCATCCTCATCACCACTAACAAGTCCATCATCAGCATAATCAGCATCATCAGCATCATCATGATAACGATCATCACCAGCAGCACCACCACAACCACCACCATCACCATCATCATCACCAACATCATCGAAATCATCAGCATCATCATCGTGATTATCATCACCATCACCACCATCATCATCAGCATCGTCATCAGCGTCAGCATGACTACCACCATCTCCATCACCAACATCATCATCATCATCAGCATCATCATCATCATCATCATCGTCATCATCATCAGCATCGTGATCATCATCATCATCATCATCATCATCATCATCATCATCATCATCAGCATCATCATCGTCATCATCATCATCATCATAATCACATCATCATCATCATCAGCATCATCATCATCATCATCGTCATCCTCATCCTCATCCTTATCCTCATCCTCATCAGCATCCTCATCATCCTCATCCTCATTATGACCCCTCTTCGTTTCCCCTTCTTCTCCTCGCCCCTCCCCCTCCTCTTCCCCCTTCTCCTCGCCCCTCCCCCCTTCGCCCCTCCCCTCCCCCTCTCCCCTCCGCCCCGCCCTTCCCAAAGTTGGAGAGGGAGGCCGCCTTGGCCCACTGGCACAGCAGCTCCCCGAGCCGCAGCGCCACGTCCTCCGCGCTCATGCCGTCCGCCGCGCGGGGCGCGGACTTGACCAAGCAGGAGGCGGCGCTGTCCTGGCGGGGCCCTGGGGGCACATTATTACCCTCCTCTCCCCTACCTTCCCTCCGCCTCCTCTGCCTACTCCGGCTCCTCCGGCTCCTCCGTCTCCTGCTCTTCCCCCCCCATCCCCACCTCCTCAGGTTCCTACCTACCTCCTCCTCCTCCTCCTCCTTCTCCTCCTCCTCCTCTTCCTCCTCCTTCTCCTCCTGTTATCGTTCCTCCTCCTCCTTTTTCTCCTCCTCCTCCTCCTCCTCCTCCTGTTCGTCCGCCTCTCCCTCCTCCTCCTCCTCTTCCTTTTCCTCTCCCTCCTCCTCCTCCTCCACCTATTCCTCTTCCATTTCGTTTTCTACGTCCTCTCCATTTGCCGCTTCCTTTTCCTTTTTTTTACCGTCATAATCATCTTTCGGAACAACAACTTCGGCGTCATCACCAGCATCAGCATCACCAACACCATCATCACCTATCTTTTTGCTTTTTGTAATAAATCACTCCTCCATATCGCACCCAGATGCCACTCGGAGTGACAGCCACGGCGCTTCGCCCGAGAACTCCAGAATTCCTTACCATTTAGGATCCTGAGGCGTAAGAAGACGACAGCATTTTCGCAGATAGAGGGCGGGTGATGTTCAAACTGTGGCTCTCGCATTAGCGCCGCGCGCAACCTCCTCACAAATTTACAAGATATTCACATATTGGCGGCGGGGTATTTTCAACATGTGGTTTCAGCTTCAACGCCGCGCACGTTCGTCGAGGGCGGTTCCTTGCCGCGCGCACACGTTTGAAACAGTTGTAAGGGTTTCACGGTTCCATGCATCGTCGTTGAGCACAAGCTCGAACTCACACGAGCGTCCTCCCTGTCACCTCAACCTTTTCCCAAGCGGGCACGGGCCCCCACGATGGCGGCAAACCACATTCGAATCCAATGGCGAAGGGTGGCGGGGACACTGGGACAGTGGGACAGCACAGTGGGACAGCGGCGGGGACAGTGAGGAAAGTGGGACAGCGGTGGGAACAATGGGGACCATGGTGGGCACACTGGGGACAACCGGGAGAGTGGGACCGTGGTGGGACAATGATGGAGACAATGGGGGCAATACTGGTGGGGGCACTGGTGGGGACAGCCGGGACAATGGTGGGAACGGTGGGGACACTGGGACAGTGGTGGGGACAGTGGGACAGTGGTGGGGACGGCAGTGGTGGGGACAGTGGTGTGGGGACAGTGGGGCAGTGGTGGGGACAGTGGGGACAGTGGGACAGTGGTGGGGACGGTAGTGGTGGGGACAGTGTGGGAACAGTGGAACTGCGGCGGGGACAGTACGAACAGTGGGACAGCGGCGGGGACAATTGGGGACAGTGGTGGGGACCGTGGGGAAAGTGGGGAGAGTGGGACCGTGGTGGGAACAGTGGTGGGGACAGTGGGGACAGTGCGAAAGTGGTGGGGGCACTGGTGGGGACAGAGGGGGCGGTGGTGGGAACGGTGGGGACACTGGGACAGTGGTGGGGACAGTGGGACAGTGGTGGGGACGGGCGGTGGTGGGGACAGTGGTGTGGGGACAGTGGGGGTGGTGGGGACAGTGGGGACAGTGGGACAGTGGTGGGGACGGTAGTGGTGGGGACAGTGGGACAGTGGGACAGCACAGTGGGACAGCGGCGGGGACAGTGAGGAAAGTGGGACAGCGGTGGGAACAATGGGGACCATGGTGGGCACACTGGGGACAACCGGGAGAGTGGGACCGTGGTGGGACAATGATGGAGACAATGGGGGCAATACTGGTGGGGGCACTGGTGGGGACAGCCGGGACAATGGTGGGAACGGTGGGGACACTGGGACAGTGGTGGGGACAGTGGGACAGTGGTGGGGACGGCAGTGGTGGGGACAGTGGTGTGGGGACAGTGGGGCAGTGGTGGGGACAGTGGGGACAGTGGGACAGTGGTGGGGACGGTAGTGGTGGGGACAGTGTGGGAACAGTGGAACTGCGGCGGGGACAGTACGAACAGTGGGACAGCGGCGGGGACAATTGGGGACAGTGGTGGGGACCGTGGGGAAAGTGGGGAGAGTGGGACCGTGGTGGGAACAGTGGTGGGGACAGTGGGGACAGTGCGAAAGTGGTGGGGGCACTGGTGGGGACAGAGGGGGCGGTGGTGGGAACGGTGGGGACACTGGGACAGTGGTGGGGACAGTGGGACAGTGATGGGGACGGCGGTGGTGGGGACAGTGGTGTGGGGACAGTGGGGCAGTGGTGGGGACAGTGGGGACTATGGGACAGTGGTGGGGACGGTAGTGGTGGGGACAATGGTGAGGGCGGTGGTGAGGACGGTGGTGGGACGGTGGGACAGGGGTACAGCGGGGAGTGGGGACAGTGGTGGGAACAGTGGAACTGCGGCGGGGACAGTAGGACAGCGGCGGGGACAATGGGGACAGTGGTGGGGACCGTGGGGAAAGTGGGGAGAGTGGGACCGTGGTGGGAACGGTGGTGGGGACAGTGGGGACAGTGCGAAAGAGGTGGGGGCACTGGTGGGGACAGTGGGGGCGGTGGTGGGAAAAGTGGGGACAATGGTGGTGGGGACGTTGGTGCTGGGGACAGCGGTGGGGGATGTGGTGCGGACGGTGTTGTGGACCCCGGAGTCGTTTGCAGGCGGTGAGAGGGGGGGGGCCTCGAACCTGTAGTGACCCCCCCTCGGTTTTCTGGAGGCTGGAGGGGGGGGGAACGGGGAGGGGTCAGGGAAAGGGGGGGGGAATAAGGTCGATCATAGCCACTTCTGACTGTTCAGGAACTACTTCGGTCGGATTGCAACCACTGGAAACGGACCGATCGCAACCTGAAGGATTCCTATACAAACCTTTCTGAAGAACACCGGGTTGCAACCGATCGAAAAGCTTCTGCAGAGCTTCTCTAGAGCTCTCAGCGAGGCCTCTGAGAGGCCCTGGCGAGGCCTCTGAGAGGCTTCTCTGATACGTTTCTCTGAGGCCTCTGATTGGCTTCTCTGAGAGGCTTCTCTGAGAGGCTTCGCGCCCAGATTGGGGGGGGGACTCTGAGGCTTCCGCGAGGCTTCTGAGAGGCCTGTGACAGGCTTCCGAGAGGCTTCTGAGAGGCTTGTGAGAGGCTTCTGGAAGGCTTCTGAGAGGCTTCTGAGAGGCTTCTGAGAAGCTTCTGAGATGCTTCTGAAAGAGGCTTCTGCGATGCTCCCGCGAGGCTTCAACGCGGCTTCTGAAAGGCTTCTGCGAGGCTTCTGCGAGGCTTTTACGAGGTTTCTGAAAGGCTTCTGAAAGGCTTCTGAAAGGCTTCTGCGAGGCTTCTACGGGGCTTCTGCGAGGTTTTGCCCTTCGACAGCCCCAAGAATCGCCTCGTGGACCCCTCGGAGACCTCGAGGCCTCGTTTGCCCCTCAAGGTTCTCACAGGCCCCGCAGTCCACAGAGGCACCCCAGGTCCCACAGGCCCCACAGGTCGCACATGTCCTAAGGATCCCACCGTTCCCGCCTGCCCCATATGTCCCACAAGTCCTGCGTGTCGCACGGGCGCCAAAGGTCTCGCAGGCCGTGCAGGTCGCACACGTCCCCCAGCCATAATTCCCACAACCACCAGAGGCCCAAGAGGCCCCACAGGCTCCACATGCCCCACAAGTCCCACAGGTAGCACAAGTCCAACAAGCCCCATAAGCCCCGCAGGCCCCACGGATGCCCCTGGTCCCTCAGGCCCCATCGGCCCCACGGGCCCCACAGGTCCCGCAGGTCGCACAGGCCGCAGAAGTCTCACAGGCCGCGCAAGCACCATGAGTTTCACGGGTTTCACATGCCCCACAGGTCCCACCGATCTCACGGGGCCCACGGGCCCCACTGGCCCTACAGGGCCAAGAGGTTGCACGCGTCCGCCAGGTCACACGGGCCCCGCAGGTTCCGCAAGCACAGCATGGACCACAGGTCGCGCAAGTCCACAGTTCCCACTTGCACCACAGGCCCCCACAGGCCCCACAAGTTTTTGGCAGGCCACATGGGTCTCACAGCTCCCACAGACCAACCACACAAGTCCCGCAGCTCCTCTGCTGCTATTCGGGTGCTGCGCTCAAGTAAGTTGACGGCCCTGGAGCCAGGCGAAGGCCCCCGGTTGCCGAACATGGGCGAGGACCGCCTACCGTGATTTTTCACACCGAAAGGATCGGGCGTTGGCAGAACTGGGTTGAGTGGACCCCCCGCCCCATTTCCACTAACCGGAACTGCCGTCACCGGAAAAACACCGGTCACGGCAAACCTGGTTTGGTGAATCTGGCCAATCGAGGGGCCCCAAGGCCCCACCACTAACGGGGTCCCCTTACCCGGGGTCCTGGCTATACCAAAGTTTGCTGGACGCGACTCTGCCGGCCATCCGAGTCGAGTTCGGATCGCAACGGGCGTCACGTTCTGGCCAGCCGCCACCGCGGCGCGCGGCGCTGAGTGCAAAAGGCGGCACATGCAGCCTCGCCCCGTCGTGTCCAGGCCCGCCGACTCCCGCTGGCTGAGCCCTGCTACTTACTCCCAGACCGCCTGGCGTTGTCACGTGACAACATCTGTTTTTGTTTCGGGCTCTGGGGACCCTAGCCAGGCCCAGGGGCCGTCCAAAAGTGACTCAGTATGCAATGCTGTTCTACTGTAGGTCCATGCGGCGATGGCACGCTGGCGACGGTGGCGGAGGCGTTCAAGGCTGCATTTTGCGACGCGGAAGCACCGAGGGACACGGTGGGGCCACTGTACCCGACGAAATTCAACCTTGAACGATCGGGGCCGCGATCGATTCAAAGTTGAACGATCAACCCGGTGCCATAAGCCATGCGAGTGCCGACGCCGCACGAACCTACTGTAGGGGAATTCGTCCAGACCTCTGGGGGTCGACGTTACGAAACAGTCATGACGTTGTGGGTCTGGGCCGCCGCGTCTACCCGCCTTGCCATCCTGTCCTCCTCCTTTTCCTCCTCCTACGCCTCCTCCTCCTGCTCCTGCTCCTCCTGCTCCTGCCCTTCCTCCCTCCCCTCCTCCTTCTCCCTTCCTCCTCCCTCCCTCCTCCCCCTCCTCCTCCTCCTCCTCCTCCTGCTCCTCCTCCTCCTCCTTTTCCTCCTCCCTCATACCCCTCTTGAGATGCAATTTGTTTCACACTAGCCGTTTTTACAGTTTCGGCTTCAATCGTATACGCATCACATAGGAAACGTGTACGGATCATGGCCACGTTCGAGCTCAAGTACATGTGTTTAGCTGAGATTATGATCGGCCGTCGGTGATCGGACCGATCGCAGATGCTTTTTCAGATATCCATTGGGCGGCTGCACCCAGAAGCGCTCGTATGATCTTTTCCTGAATCGAAACCTTATTGGAACAACCCAAAACCATCGCAACCACTTCGGAACGCTCGCAACTGGTTGCGATCGGTCCGAAGTGGTTGACGATCGGTCCGAAGTGGTTGCGATCGGTCGTGCTCCTCGCGGAGGGGGGGGGGGTGCAGGGGGAGGGGGAGGGGGGGGGGTCCAGCAGATTTTGGAAGGGGGAGGGGGACCGCCGGGTTCTGGAGGAAGAGGGTGGGATGTTCCACAGTAAAGCGGCGGTGGATGACGCTCTCTCATACCATTGCCTCGTGTGTTAGCCCTGCTCTTCGCACGCATTTTGATATATTGCCGAACGGTTAAACAACATACGATGCAGAATTAAGCATTGCATTGTGAACCACCGATGAACCAAAATACCGCAGTTCGCGGATATGCCAGGTTGCTCGCACCCAATGACAACACGAGGTCTTTATACGAAACCCTGGGGAAGCGAACTTCGGCAGGGAATATGCCGTATCCTGTCACCGCGTTTGCACGGGTCGTTTCGTGTTGTCACTTGTTTAGATGTAAGCTTCCTCTCTTTGGAATGTGATGCGGTTTGACTGGATTATCTCTGTTTCACAGGGTCTCCAAGCGAAACCCAATCAAGAGGAATGCCCGCGCCCCGATGACAATACGCGCCCCGATGACAATACGATGCAATGGTTTGGATGAGGCCCAGATCGGAGACGAGATACCCGGCCATGTTGGGCAATGTTTCCGTTCAGCCTTGAGCCAGGAAGAAGACTAGCTCAGGTCAGGTGGGACCAGGCGCGGGGGAAAAAACGCGTCGTGTCAGGTTCGGGTCAAGGTCGAGGTCAAGGTCAGATCAAGATCGAGGTAGAGGTAGAGATGGTGGCTGAGGCCGAGGCCGAGGCCGAGGCCGAGGTCGAGGCCGAGAATGGGGCTCTCCATTCTTAAAAACAGCCGCCCTCGAGGGGGCCTTCCCCCCGCCCTCCTGTCCTCCTCCTCCCGGGCGGGCTCGAGCCCTTCGCGCGTGGCCGAGCCTCCGGGTGTCTCTGGGCTTCTGGAGACCTCCTTCCTCCTCCTCCTCCTCCTCCTCCTCCTCCTCCTCCTCCTCCTCCTCCTCCTCCCTCCCCTGCAACCAACAACACACACAACTGCGCAAGCATAAACTCTGAGAGGGCTGCGCCGATCCCACGGATCCGCGAGGACCTCCGAACGCTTCTGCTCATGATGCCGTGTCTTTCTTCCTCTTCGACTACAGCCTCCCTTCCGACGAAGCCAGGACGGGGACAACATCGGACCAGGACGAATCGGGGATCCCAGAGATCCCGCCGCTCTGGAGGATGCAGCGGGCGCCGCGGCCGTTCCACAGGGCTCCGAAACGATTGATCCCTGCCGAAGGGCCTCCTGGAAGGCAGATGGGGTCGGACGATCGCGCCGCCTTACTGATGCATCGGCGATGCATCGGCGATGCATCGGCGATGCATCGGTGCCGTTGGCGTGGATCAAATCGGGCTCCACATCGAGCTGCCTCCCCGATGCATCAGCGATGCGGCGCGATCCCCCGACCCAATCTACTCCGACCCTAGAGTTAGGTCGGGCGTGCCCTCCTACAGGCGGATTGCCGAGGAACAAAAACAGATTCGAGAATAGTCAAAACCAGCAGAAGAATCGTCCCCAGGCTGCTTTGTTTGACTACTCTTGGACACTCCTCCTGTAGAGGGACATGCCCGACTGCAGCCTCGAGGCAATCCCAGCCCCGCCCGGTCCGATCTGGGCCACCCGGCTTGAGCATGGACCGACCGTCCCGGCATTCCTATAGGCCTACCACAGCATGTTCTCAGAACCCCTAAAAGTTCTAAGAACAAAAAACCATGTTCTTAGAACACAACCCCCATGTGTTAAAACGAGACAGCCCCGACCAGACATGTTCTGAGAACATGCCGCGGAAACCACGGAAGGTTCTTAGGACATTCTTCGGTGCGCCTCTTGGCGAGCCAGGACGCTTCGCCACTGCTTGACCCACGGTCCTCGATCCGGCCAGAAATGTTCTGAGCACATGCCGTGGAAACCATGAACGGTTCCTGGAACATTATTTGGTAGGCCTACTGGCGAGCCTACTGTCGGGCGTTGGTAGAACTAGGTTTAGTGGAACCTGGTTTAGTAATCCGTACTGGGGGCGTCCCCCCGTCCCATTTCCACTAACCGGAACTGCCGTCACCCCAACAAAACACGAGCTATGGCAAACCTGCTTCAGTGATTCTGGCCACTTCCGGGGCTCCGGGGCCCTACCACCAACCGGGTCCCCTTGCCCGGGGCCCTGGCCATGCCCGACACCGGCGACCCGCGGTCCTCGAGGACCTCCACCCCGGCCTGCCTCACGCCCTGCACCATCTCCGAGTGCACGGCCAGCAGCTGCGACGCCCCGCCGGCCTGCGCGGGGCCGCCCACCTCGGCTGCAGAGGCGGCACGGGCAGAGCGCAGCCTCCGCCCGCGGAGAGAGCTCCGCCCGGCCTCCCACGCTGCGGGACGGGAAAATGACCACAGCCACTGCTTCTTGTTTGCGCCGCCTTCCAGCCGGCCGAAGAAGAAGCAGTGGTTGTGGTCATTTCCCTGGTGCCAAGCTCAGCGAAAATGACCACAACCACTGCCTTGTTTCTGCGGGCTGGAAGGCGGCAACAAAATAAAAGCAGTGGCTGTGGTCGTTTTCACGCCCCGTACACGGGCGCCTCGAGCAGCAGGTCGGGCATGTCCCTGGACGAAAGATAGAACACAGCCTACAAATATTCGAAACAAAAGTCAGGCATAGTCGAAGATCGTCCCCCCAACATGATTTTTGACCGTGCCTGTGCATTCCCCCTGCAGAGGGACAATGCCCGATTTCACTCGCGCACTCATCTCCCCCATGCATGTGCGCGATGGTCCTGTCATCCACCCCTGGAATCGGGGATGGACAGACCCCCCTTCAGTAAAACGTGGTTTAGTGAAAACGACCGGAGGCCCAAACCTGGCGGGCGCAAGCCTGGAAAATAACGGCCACGGCGCCCTCTCGAGAACCGAAAATTGACAATTCACTAATCGACGTGTCACTTTTGGGGGTTCTGTCCACCCCCGATGGAACCCTGGCGGTGCGCCAGTTCATCAGGACGGGCGATAGTTCGCCTCGATTCGGGCCCCCCCCAGAGCCTCGTGGATCGGGCCGGCTCGATAAGTGCAGCAGGTCGATGGGGTCCAGGGATTCTGTCATAGATTTCTCGATCGCGGTGCTGCAATGTTGTTCGCACCGTCGGACCTCAGAGCTGTGCGCGCCGGTCCTGTCATGCCTACCAGTTCCCCTGCACGCGTCTCGACACGCGAGCACATCTCTCCTCCCTGCCTCCCTCCCTCCCTTCCTCCCCCCCGTCCCGCTTGCATGGTATCGTCCGCTCTCGCTCTCGACTGTTCTCGCCCCCCCCCCCGTCCTCTCCCTCTCTTCCTTCCTTTCCTCTCCTGTCTGCGCGGTTGCTGTCAATCCTCCCAGGGGCCCCATGAGGGAGAAGCCCTCGCCCACGCACAAGGATTCACAAAATCTTTCGGGCCCTGCCCGGAGCTGCGCCCGGCCGCGGCGACGAGGGGCCCCTCGCGAGGGCGCCAGGCTGCCGCCGCCTCGGCTCGCCCCCCCCGCGTGAAATCAGAATTTGACCTCCCAGGAGCTGCATAAGAACAGGAGGGTAGGGGGCAGGGGGGAAGGCTTCTCAGAAGGAGGCTGCTTCTTGGCAGGCGCGGGCCTTGCATCAATAGACAGGGCCCGCGCCCTCTGAAAGACAGGGGTGCCTCCAAGAAACCATCCCCCCTCCTCCGAACCCCTCCTCTGCGCGTGGCCGAGTACAAATATACACATCGGCCACATCGGTCGGAAGAAATGTGTAAGAACATGGAGTATTGAGCAGGGACCGACCGTCCCGGCATTCCTATACCTCTTCCACGACATGTCCTTAGAACCCCAAAATGTTCCAAAAACAAAAGCAATGCTCCTAGAACATAAACACATCTGTTAAAACAAAACAGACTCCACCAAAAATGTTCTAAGAACATTCCGTGGGCACCACAACAGGATTTTAGAACATTGCTTGGTTGGGTTATACTCGAACCGGGACGCTTCGCCGCTGCTTGAAAGTCGGAAGGCGGATACGGTAGATTGGGCCCGGTCCTCCCAGGAAGGCGCTTGGAGCAGATCGGGGCCTGGGCATGCAAAAGAGCACCTACGTTCGGCGACCGGCGCGTGACCTTTTGGAGCTTCGCGCGGATCTCTTGGATCGGCGCCCCCGAAGAATCGGTCATGCAGTCGGCGCCCGCGCGCCGCCCGGAGGAGGAGGAGGAGGAGGAGGAGGAGGAGGAGGAGGAGGAGGAGGAATCAGGAGGAGGAGGAGGAAGAGGAGGAGGGGAGGAGGAGGAGGAGGAGGAGGAGGAGGGAGGAGGAGGAGGAGGAGGGGGCGAGGAGGAGGAGGAGGAGGAGGAGGAGGAGGAGGAGGCCTCATCATCATCCCTCCTCGATCCTCGATCTCCCTCGGAAGTCGAACCACTTCTGCAGCTGGCGGCAGGCCAGGCCTGGGCCGCCGGCTATCCAGACGAGGCAGCACGCAGCGTCCACGGGCCCTCCGCCTCCGCCCTGCTCCTCCTCTTCCTCCTCCCTGCTCATCCTCCAGCGGACCGCGTGTCCGCGCCACCTACGCGCCCCAGCCGCCGCCGCCGCCGCCCCCGGTGCGGTCCCACCGCCAGGCGCTTCCGGTGCGGTCCCACCGCCAGGCGCCTCCGGTGCAGCCCACCGCCAGGGGAGGCCGCCGCCGCACGACACCACCCCGACATCGGCGCCAGGTACAGGGGCTGCTCCCCCATCGGGGGGCCCGAACCCTTTTCTCTCCCCAGGGGGGACAAGCCCACGCCCCTGGCAAGCCAGGGGTCCGCCCGTCGACGGCCCTGGGGAGCAGCCGACCCCGAGATGGTTGTGGGCAGCGGCCTCCAGCGGCAGCCCGCGCGCCTGCTTCCGGCCGTCTGGTGAGCCCCCAGTTCAACGCGTCGCGCCCCTCCGCCGCTCGCCCGCTGCCCTGCCGGTCCGCGAGCCTCATCCAGCTCGCAGCAGCGCCCCCGGCCTTGCCCGCGCGCGCCCGCAGCCCAGCCGCCTCGCAGGCCCCCTGCAGCCCCCAGCCGCAGCCTGGCTCCCCTTCCTCCTCCTCCTCCTCCTCCTCCCTCCTCCTCCTCTCCTCCTCTCCTCCTCCTCCTCCTCCTCCTCCTCCTCCTCCTCCTCCTCCTCCTCCTCCTCCTCCTCCTCCTCCTCTTCCTCCTCAATTCGTTTCCCTTTCTATGAACAATTCATTCCTCCCCGTCGCAACCTGGGGCCAATTGGAAGGGCGTGCCTGTCGTTTCGCCCGAGCCTTCCTACCAGTCGAAGTCCTGAAGCTGAGCAATCTGTAACAGCTTCATAGATGGGTCGCTTCCAATGAGTACCTCTCGCCTCAGCGCGGAACACATTCATCTTAAACGCGTGCAGCAATTTCAACGGTTTGAAGGCGGGCCGTTGGCACAATGTGGCTGTCGCCTTGGCGCCGCGTCTTAAACATGTGAAAGATTTAACGATTTGAGGGCGGACGGTGTTCAACATGTAGTTTTCGCCTTCGCGCGGCGCGTATTCGTATTCAGCTCAGTCGGCTTTTCAGAAAACCAGCAGCTGGGAACTGATTGTACATCTGGCGACCTTATTGACGGACTAGGGTCGCACCAATCGTAACAATAAGTTCTTCTCCGCGGCACCCGCCGCACAACAACGACGACGACTACGACTACGATTACGACTGCGACTGCGATACGACTACGCCTACGACTATGACTACGACTACGTGGTGCTAGCGACAGCAACTACTAGTACGATTGCGACTACCACTACGACTACGACTGCAACTACGAGTACGACTACGACTACGACTGACACTGCGACGAATACTATATTCATGCCGCAGGAGCATTCTCACAGAAAGTCCTCGCCTCGGCGACGAGTGTGTCGATCTATATTGCATTCCTCTTGCAAAAGCACTCAAAATTCACTTGTCGTGCAGAGTCGCCAGGGCAGCATTATCCGCAAGGAGAAGCACCCCAAACGCGACGAGATCAAGGGAGAGAGTGTGAGCAACACCGTCGGAAAAGAATGTGTCGATGTAAGTTGCAGTCCTCTTGCAAGCGTGCTCAAAAATCCTCTGCCGTGCAGGGTCGTTAGTCCAGGGAGCATGACTCGCTGGGAGGAAGAGCCCCCAAACATTATCCAGCGCGACGAACATAGGGGGGCAAACAAACCTACCTCGCTTTTGACCAACCTCGCTTCCAAGAGATACCAAGCGATGCCAAACTACGGCCTGTACTGGTCAGGCCGCTTGACGAGGAGGCGCGTGGTACGACTTGGTTTTGCCTGGAAGCGAAAGCGGGGCACGCTCTGGGAACATTCGTGGGAAACTGATCGGTGGGCCGCGACGCGGGCGCCCACGACGGGGGCTTCCCCGTCCTTCCTCTGCTCGTTGTGCCTCTCCTCCTCCTCCTCCTCCTCCTTCTCCTCCTCCTCCTCCTCCTCCTCCTCCTCCTCCTCCTCCTCCTCCTATCGCGCCAGCGGCAAGAAACCAAGCGTGTAGCCGACGAGTTCCGCAACGGCGGGAGGGCTTGGGTCTCCCGGCAAGGCTCACGGCCGGCGCCGGCCCTCAGAGCGGACGGGGAGGTGGCGACCGATCCGGCACGTTGTTGCGAGGAAGTGCTCAGGGAGTTTCGGGGCACGGTCGGGGCGTTGACCTAAGGAACCCTAAATGAAAAACGAGACCCCTTTTTTTTCCCCCTAAGTAAAACTTCTATTTCCAGTGGAAAACCTGAGGAAAACTGTAAAACTATCAAGGGACACCGAACCCCTCCCCAACGAAAAAGGTTCCTTTTTCAGCGCCCCGGCTGCAGGTGGTCGGCGCCAGCGGCGGAGCTCGATGCGGAAGTATATATCACATGCGATCTTGGGGACTTGTCTCGGAGGGGTCCCGCTCCAGATCGACGACCTCGCGCGTGATGCAGCGCTCGGCGGCAGACCAAGCCCTTCCGAAATAAACATGCGCGGGGCCTCGGCCGCCGCTCTCGGGGCGGCCGGCCGGATGGACGGGGCCCAACCGCCGAGTCTTGCAGCGGTGAGGCCAGATCAGTTTTGGAGTTCGGGGTCTCTCGGAGCATGCGTGGGGAACGAGGCCAAGCAACTCGGCACTCCATCGCAGAATCGGGCTATGGTGTTCCAGCCGATGATAGCCCACATTTGCCACGCGTACTTGGCGCAAGCAACTCTTCCTTACCTGGGTGATCACACAGATGACCAAAATCTCCGGGGCTTAGTTTTGGGAGTTCCCAAAGGGTGGCCACTACGGTGGCCAGGGCGACTGAGGTGGGGACGGACAGATACG